GGTAATCCCGTCGCCTGTTTCTCTGCCGGGAACACATATTGTACCGGGACTTCCTTTTCCCTTAGTCTCTGTATTCTCTCCGCTCTCCTCGGTTTTCTCCTTCTAATCTCCACGAAGTTTCCTTCGCTGTCCGAGGTCGTTTCCGCTATCGTGTTGTTAGGGGTATCTCTCCTTTTCTTGCGGTTCCTTNTAGGGGTATCTCTCCTTTTCTTGCGGTTCCTTCTTCTTCTTTGTGTTCTAGTATTGTCCGAATCAGCGTGGTTCCAGCTGATGTATCCACCCTGAATGCCATGTCCGGAGTGTATCCGGACTCCTTCCCGCTGCTATTGGTTCAGGGTGGAAGGCCACTCTTTTCCTCCCACCCTCCGCAAGTTTCTGTTTTAGTTCCTCAATCTGTTGCATATGCATTTCCTCTGTCTCCCTTGCTTGTTGCAATCGGCCCAGCAGCATCGCATTTTCCAGCGTCATGTAACTGATGAGCCCGTCCATGTCCAATTTAACCGTATTCAGCGCATTTAGTGTGTCCACTTTTATCTTTTTTGCTCTCGTCTCCGTTTTTAGTATAGATTCAAACTGCCCTAGAACATCTTTGGCTATTCCGTTTTGCCTCATCGTGTTCTCAGCTTCATCCCTGTCTTGCTTCCTCCTTTTGTTCGTCATCCCTATTGACTCCGTGTCTGTGCTTAGGTCTGGGTCATTCTCCTCATCGTTTCCGCGTCCGATCGCAGGGCGGTCTGATCCTCCCTNCGAAGGGCGGTCTGATCCTCCCCTCAATCTCAAATTTTCTTTGAAAAGTTTCTTTGATGAATGCGCCCTCGGTTCTCCTGCCACAAACTCGTCTATAGATCCTTCAAATGTTAAATCTTCCTCTAATCTCAGTCTTCTCGATCCCATCGATACACTGTTCATAGTGTATCCATCATCGTCCGATTCGTCTGCCAGATTCGCAATAAATTCCTCTTCCTCTTTGGACGCAAGTGTTTCTTCCCATTTGTAGAAACTGCCTTTAAGACAGCCTTCTGACACCTCTGTCATCCTAACTTTCTCTTCTGGAATATCTCTACTGTACACAGTCTTTGATGTGCAATTGAGGAAGTGTTCCTCTTCTTCTGACATTCTGGTATGGTCTGGCTTATAGAAGGCCACCTTCCCTTTTTTTTCGGATCCCCTAGAGCCAGGTCTTACCTCTCTAGCCTCGTTACTTTCTCCTCGTTTAGGTTCCGACTCAGTTCTACTCCCATTTTTACTGCTATTCAGGGTCGTTGCTCCCTCTTCCACTTCGTCCTCTTTCTTATTCGATTCCTGTTCTGTTTTGTCCTCTTCTTTGGCACCACTTTTCGTCTTTCTTCCCGACTGTTCTCTCTTACTGTATACACTATTGTATCTATTCCTTGAGAGTTCTGGTTCCACGTCATCTATCTAGTCCATGAGATCCTTGAACTCAAAGTCTTTTTTCTTCAGCTCCTTCTTATAGACCTTTCCCATTTTCAGATCCATAATCTCCTTTGTTATATTGAGCTTTGGGTATACTTTTCCTGTGTCCTCTTTCCACTTTATTTCCCTCTCATTGTACGCAGGCAATTCCGTTGTGTTGTTGGACCTTTCCTGCTTCTTTGCTTCCCTTTTCCTGTTCTCTTCCTTGGCACTTCCCTCTTCCTTAACAGGTGAAAGAAGTAACCCTGGTCTAGTCTGTTCCCTTTTCCAGGAGGGTTCCCAAAATCTCTGGCTTCTTTGCTCCTCCTCCTTTCTCTGGTTTTCTCTTCTCCTCTGATCATCCATTTCCTGGTATTCTCTCCTTCTCCTTTCTTGCTCCATATACTCCCTGTTCGATTCTTCTTTCTTTCTGCTCCAGTCAAACCCGGATGAATTCGAGGAGTACTCATTTCCCCAACCTCTCCTGGACGGCTGGGAATAATCGTTTCTACTTTCTAATCATTGCGCTCTTTCCCTCAGGATGCGTCCATTCTCTTTCCGTAGTCTGCGGTTTACCTCATCTCTATTTCCATTCTCTCGCCTATTTCTGATATAATCGCCTCTGTCTATAACTCTTCCTTGCCTACTTCTACTGTTATCCGTGAAGACACTCGTGAATGAGGAGGTCGAGTCGAACCTCCTCAGTCCTCTTCCGTCTTCCCATATTGAGTTGTGCCTGTTTTCGCGCCCCCAATACGCATCCTCCTCCGTTACTGATGACAGCTTCCTTTCATGTTGTCCACTTTCCGTGGACGATCTCCGGGTTCCACTCCATTCAGTCACGGCTGTCGTAAATGAACTGGTCGACCTTGAGCTTCTTCTACTCATGTTTGTTTTCGTCTGCCCTTTATATCTTGCTTTGAT